TTACGATAGAACTGATATAGACAATCAAATCAAAATTGAAATCTGAGTTTGAAATGAAATATCTAGTTCAAGTGACACACCCCACCCCGTATAACACTATTAGATTCGGACGTGACATGCGCCGATAATAGATACCAACTAAAAGTCAAACCCACCATCAAATCAGCTTAAAGGTTTAAGAGTAAATCTAAGAAGGTTTGCTTAAAAAAGTCTTACAAAAAATAAAAAAATTTAATTCATATGTTCAAACTCTAAGAGTCGTTAAAAGTAATTCTAATTCCTATTTCTTTTATAAAGGTTTGAGTGGGTCCAAATCTGTTTATCTTCAATTAAATATTGATGATATGCTTCTTGGATGTTACGATAGAACTGAGATACACATAATCAAATCAAAACAGAAATTTGAGTTTGAAATGAAATATCTAATTCAAGTGACACACCCCGCCCCGTATAACACTACTAGATTCGGACGTGGCATGCGCCGATAATAGATACCAACTTAAAGTCGAACCCACCATCAAGGTAACTACAAATACAATATATCACTTTTTATACATCATTTTTCTAACAGAATTTCAGCATTATCTCCCTTGGAAACAGGATTAACCAGCCTGTGATCAATTTCACACAAATCCCAAATTATAGCACAACACAATAAAGATAAATCGAAATCTCAACTTTTATCAAGAAATAAAATGAAATATACATAGTGAGCCACATACTATCTACAAGTTATGCAAAATCTCATCTAGACATGAACATGCGTCCCAAAACACTAACTACATGTTTTATGAAGTGAGTCATACTAACAAACTCTGTCGTGTGGCTTTGACTCCAAAATCAAGGCTCAACTCCAAAAGATGCCCAGATTCTCAACTGCTATCTGATAAGGAAAAACGTGGAAAAATATATGAGTTGATAGCTTAGTGAGTTGAGAAGTTCAAAATAAATATACTTTTTCATTTATACATTTTTATTGAAATTAAATTCATATCATTTGATAATTCACAAGCTACCATCATGTAATTATAGCCAAAAAGTGAAATATTCACATAAGGTCATAAAATATCATCTTAAAATCATGATATAAACATCAGCTAACAAATATGCTATAATCTAATCACATCAAGCGTGCTGAAAAATCCACCAAAAATGTACCCTCTGACTGAAATATATAATCCGCCCGTCGGGCTAAGAACAGTCGCCATGGGCCTTTGGCCCCTCCGTGAACGAAAGTCGATCTCAAAGAATTCTTATAATCAATTCTACAACACGGTAAAGACCCCTCAGTGAATTATATATACACGGTCGAGACCCTTTCATCCCCAGTCCAAGACCTCTCGGTGTAGTATAGAATACGACCAAGGCCTCTTAGTGAACTAGAAGAAATATATAATCACGGGTACTTTTCTGGTCGATCTCAAAATCATATCTCATATTCCAATTCACAATGTACCGTATACAATCTTTGAAATCCCACTTGTATCATAATAAAAGATATTTCCATAATAACCATGTAATTCGATACATAATTGCATATAATTGCACATACTTTAACAATATACTTAATTCATAAATATTTTAATAATATTTATATTTTTCCACTCACAGAACTATATACGCCAAAATCAACTCGATTGAAATGCTGTCCCGATATCCGTATCGCTGCCTGAAATATAATATAATTTTTAAATCAACAATTAACTAATTTAAGTAATTTCAATAATTAAATAGGCGATACCTAAACTTAATTATTTCACGTTTAGGCAATTTCTAAAGTCTCTTTAGTTACTAAAATTATTTTTCCTTTCATTTTACTCAATTTCATAGTTTATTAACGCCTTCAATAAAATTAAATTTAATCTAACAATTATAAAATTAAACATAACTTAACAATAAATAACTTTTTACTTAGCTTTCAAAATTGAGAAATTTAAGCCTAATAGGATACAACACTTAATTCCTAACACTTTGGCAATTTTTCCCCTTTTTTTCATTCTTTTTTTCCTCTTTTCCCTTTTTTTCCCTCTTTTTCCTTTCTCTTTTTTTCTCTTTTCCTTCTCTGTACCATTTTTTGTTTCGTGTGTTGTGTGTGTTATATGTTATTAATTTGGTTTGGGTGGAATTGGATTGACGCCTTAATATACTATATTTTATTTTATTTTTTTGACTTTTTTTTTATAAACTTAATATATTACAAAACTCACCCCCTTAAAAGAATTTCGTCCTTGAAATTCAATTGATCATGTGTGAAAAATTCGTGGATACTGAGAACGCATCTGCTCTTCACTTTCCCATGTCGCTTCTTCTACAGCATGATTTCTTCACAAAACTTTAACCAAAGGAATAGTCTTACTACGCAAGACATGTTCCTTCCTATCCGATATCTGAACTGGTTTTTCTTCATAGGTAAGATTTTCCTTCAGCTCTACTGATTGTGATCCCAAAACATGAGATGGATCTGGATTATACTTACGAAGCGTAGAAACATGGAATACTTCTGGACAATTCTGTTGGTAAAGTCAATTGATATGCAACTAGACCGATGCGTTCAACAATCTCATATGGGCCAATATACCTCGGACTCAATTTAACTCGTTTACCAAATCTGATAACACCTTTTCATGAAGACAATCGTAGGAAAACTCTATCTCCAACATCAAATTCAAGATTTTTTTCTACGTCTATCAGCACAGTTCTTCAGTCTATCTTGGGTTGTCTTTAACTTTTCTTTAATTATTTTTACTTTCTCAGTAGTAATCTGGATATATTCAGGACCCAATAACTTTCTTTCACCAACTTCATCCCAACATACTAGAGTTCTGCATTTCCTATCATACAATGCTTCAAAAGGCTTAATTTCCGTACTCGAATGATAACTGTTATTATAAGCAAACTCCATCAAAGAAAGATGAGTATCCCAATTTCCTTTGAACTGTAGTACACAAGCTCGTAACATGTCTTCCAGAGTCTGAATAGTTCTTTCTAATTGACCATCTATTTGTGGATGAAAAGCTGTACTGAAATGAAATTTAGTACCCATAGCTTTCTGCAAACTGGGCCAAAATTTAGTAGTGAAACGAGATTCTCTATCTGAAAGAATAGATAATGGTGTCCCATACAAACTCATTATCTCATCAACATATATTTTTGCCAATTTATCTAATGAGTAAGTGACTTTAATTGGCAAAAATCTATCAGTCTTTGTCAATCTGTCTACAATGATTCATATGTCATCATGTCCATTCTGAGTCCGTGGAAGTCCAAATAGAAAATTCATTATAATGTGTTCCCATTTCCACTCAGGAATAGGCAACGTTTGTAATAATCTTGCTATTTTCTGATGATCTGGTTTCACTTGCTGGCAAATGAGACATCTAGATACAAACTCAACTATTTCTCTCTTCATTCCATGCCACCAATAGTATTCTTTGAGTACACGATACATTTTTGTACTACCTGGATGCATCCCATAAGCTGAACTATGTGCCTCTTCTAGAATTTCTCCCTTAAATTTCTAATCATCTGGAACACATAATATGTTTCCCATAACTAAAGCTCCATCATCTCGAATGGTATAATCTGTATGCTTACCTTTACTAACTTCTTCTTTCAATTTGCTCATCACTGGATCTTGGTTTTAAGTTTCTGTAACTGTATCAATTAAAGTAGGCCTCACTTGGAAGTTGGCAAACAATGCTCCTACACTGCTAACTGATAATTGAACATGAGAAGCTCTGAACTCACCAAACAAAGATGAACATATTGCATTAATCTGGTTCATAGAACTCAATATTTTCCGACTGAGAGCATCGGCAACTACATTAGCCTTCCCTGGATGATAATCAATCTTGCAGTCGTAATCTTTCATCAGCTCTAACCATCTTCTTTGCCTCAAGTTTAACTCTTTTTTATCGAAAATATACTTAAAGTTTTTATGATCTGTATATATCTGGCATCTCTCACCATACAAGAAATGTCTCCAAAATTTCAAGGCTAGGATAACTGCAGCTAGCTCTAAGTCATGTGTAGGATAACTCAGTTCATATTTCTTCAATTGCCTGGAAGCATACGCTATAACTTTCCCATTCTACGTCAAAACACAACCAAGACCCTGACGTGAAGCATCACTATATATCACAAACTCTTCACCGAGAGATGGAAGGGCAAGAACTGGAGCTAACACTAATCTATTCTTCAATTCGAGAAAACTTCTCTCACAATTTTCATTCCAAACAAATTTAGCATTCTTTCTAGTCAAACTGGGCAAAGGAAGAATAATTTTAGAAAATTCCTCTACAAAATGACGTTAATAACCTGCTAAGCCAAGAAAACCTCGGATTTGTCACATTAGTAGGCATTTTTCATTTTACCACTGCCTTTGTTTTCTATGGGTCAACATAAATTCCTTCTGCTGATATGACATGTCCCAAAAATACAACTTTATCAAGCCAGAATTCACATTTATTGAATTTAGCATACAACTGCTCATCACGTAGAGTCTGCAAGATGATTCTGAGATGCTCTGTGTGTTCATCGTGATTATGAGCGTATACTAAAATATCATCAATGAATACAATTACAAATCTGTCTAAATACGAGCGAAACACTCTATTCATTATATCCATAAATGCTGCTAGTGCGTTGGTCAACCTAAATGGCATCACAAGAAATTCAAAATGACCATACATTGTCCTGAAAGCAGTTTTTGGCACATCACAGTCCCTGATTTTAAGTTGATGATATCTAGAACGTAAATCAATTTTTGAAAATACTACAGCACTGCGAAGCTGATCAAACAGATCATCAATACATGGCAAATGATACTTATTGCGAATTGTCAACTTGTTCAATTGTCTATAATCTATGCACAGTCGCATGGTGCCATCTTTCTTTTTCACAAACAAAACTGATGCTCCCCACAGAGATATACTAGGTCTAATGAAACCCTTGTCTACCAACTCTTACAACTTAACCTTTAGCTCTTTCAATTCTGCTGGTACCCTTCTATAGGGTGCCCGTGAAATATGTGCAGTTCCTAGAATCAGATCTATAGTGAACTCCATATCTCTGCCTGATGGTAAGCTTGGTAATTCTTCTGGAAATACATCAGAAAAATCCTTGACCGTTGGGATATCTTCAAGTTTTAGTTTGCTAACATCTATATTAATTACATGAGTCAAATATGCATGGCAACCCTTGTTGAGTAATCTTCTAGCGTTAATAGTGGATATCACACTAGACGATAAAATTTTGCGCTATCCATTGAATATAATTTCAGGCTATCCCGGCTGTCTAAACACAACCTCCTTTCGAAAACAATCAGCTGAAACTCGATTTGTTGTCAAAAAGTCCATACCAAGATAACATCGAAATCATGTATGTCAAGAGGTATTAAATTTGCCTTCAGCTCATTTTCCTTTACCTTAATTCCATAATCT